GGATTATACAAATTTCAGGCGAGCACGCCGTACCGTTGTGTATAATTCAGGCGGGTATTACATAATCTAAAAGCTAGGTTGATAGACAGCGACACTAAGCCTTGCCCGAAAAACTGGTACAGACTGCCTGATTAAGCTCACAGAACGACTTTGTCCTTCTGCACGAAAGTACTTTAAATTATTCTTGCCAGTGGTAGTTATAAATAATCGTAGCATTACATACTAGTTGGAGGAGGTGCGAGGGAATCTCTATTCTCAACATAATAAAAATTGAATACAACCCCCATCTTTTCACCAATAAACAAGGTCTGAAAATTGCGTGCGTGTGAAACTAAAACCATATTGGCAACAGGCTCCCCTCGGAAGAGTCGGGCACAGTGTCATTGCTATCACATAAAGTTTGGCGAGGTAACGACCTCGGATACATACGTGAATGATTGAGGCCTATGGAGAAGCGTATGAACTTCCAAAAGCATTTTCAATATTATTAAGACATCCTGTTTCACTCTCAACTTTTCTAATCGTCAACCTAGGGGAAAGCAAGTTCATATTTTGCACTCGCCAATGTTTGGTTGACGTTTGATTTAGTAAATGTGTTTTTTATGGAATCTGAAACTCTCCGTAAGATGCGGGGTCGGCGTAATACTGCGTCGTACAACAGGGTTTTTAATACATCATTTTTGTATAGATTTGGTCGGGATCAAATTGATTTGTCATAACATTTGGGTCGTCGCGAATCAAGGGGGCATTCAACCGAAGTTATACTGTACACCATAAAACACAAAGGTGCCAAGGGACTTCCCTGTCAGAAAAAATGCGTCCCCTTGACAGTTTTTCCCAAACAAGAAAGATTGAACGCGGCCTCCAATACTGGAAGCCTGGATGTCTTCAAATCCTGGAAGCCACACAACTATAGTAGCCACTAAAAACCTAACTCGACCACACCAACGCAAACTTCAACACGGCAGCTTCCACAACTTAGAAGCGTGGCTCAAATTGAGAAAATTAGTACGAAAAATCATGCTTTTGGGCATAGGTTCGTTCAAATAATCTTTATGGAAAATGCATTTTTGATCCGAGAATCTGTACAGTGCACTTATGAAGTCACAAATATCCAGCAATTCCAAAATTTTGGAGTCTAAAGAATCCGTTGGGTACTGTATATGAACTGAGCTATAATTGCAGTGATGGTCTACTTGTGATACCATATAGGAAAGTTTTGTTTACGCCCGGAATGGCGCAGTGTAGACAATGTTCAAGAATAAGAAAAAATACGCATGCTTTGAACCTAAGAGAGATGCTTGCATTTACACATGTTGTGGATGCGTACGTTAGATCTTGGCGCTTACATTTTGCCCACTATAGTCGTTGTGTGCCTTACCGGCAGCTCTCTTACGAGATCTTGATCTGCCGAGACCAAAACAGACAAGAAGACTGCAACAGACAATGGTACGATGGTCATAGCAGCAAATGAAGTCCTTGGCGTTGCCCTTGATTTAGAGCATAAATAAGTAACCTGATGTCAATTGATGAGCATGTGCATTGGATTGTGATCGCTGCTAAGCAGGAGCTCAACCTACGACAACATTATATGTGTTACAAACTAGGAACCAGATGTTGACACGACGCGCAGTGGTGAATTTGGGGATTTTGTGGGTTCTCGAAGTGGAGATTGTCACGCTCCTGCAGTGAACGGACACTGTAGGCACGGTCGGAACGAACCGAAACAACAGATGTATTTAAACGCTTTTAGATCAACGATATTGTCAGCCGAATTAATACACATCATTGTGATCAACACACTAAAGCAACCTTACACAATATTACCATACAATCAACAACATAGCACACACAAAGTAGTGCGAAGGTGGTGCCACCAATGCTCGACTCAACCCTGGGGCTAATGGCAGACAACCCGTGGTGCCGTCCACCACGGACCCTCCGCAAGAGATAATTATTCGCGCCAACCACCACGCACCAAACAGGACCACTCACCTCTCGTAGGCCGCGACCCAGGCTTGCGTCAGGCATCACTGCGGGCACCTCTGAACTAACCATGTTGATGATGGTGGCAATAAACGCTCGCGAGCACACCACCACCTACCCTTCGATAGTTGTGAAGCCTGAATGCGGCCTATGCGCAAAACTCGTGTTCCACGATGCGCAAACTATTTTACAGGAGGTGTTAGCCCCCACCCCCTCTTCGCAATGTTTACGGGGCATCGAGTCTCTGATCCTTTTGAACTATGTGTGCCTTTTCTTCAGTTGTCTGAATAATCGCCTGCAAAAGCATGCCAAGTGTTTAAGAGTAAAAGTGCAGTTTTATCATTGCGATACACTATACATACAATATAGAAAGCACTACAACAACGAATCAATAATATATACAATTCGTACAGCCCAGCAGTGGAGGCTTGCTGGCAAATCTGTGAAAGAAATTTATGCGCCCACCCTCCAAATGTGCAATCGTAGAGTCTATGCAATCGTAAAGTCTGTGGACGACCTTGTATGTTCTACTAAGCTCAGCTTGGTTTTTCTCCCACACTGATGAGTGATAACCTATACGGCACCCTCATCTTTGTTTAAGCAGTTTTGATGACATTCGTCATTTCCGTGTAACTCATGCTCTTTGTTCATCAAGCCCCAACACCCAAAACTACTGCTCGTCATCATAAACCATCGGCTTGCTTCATGCTTTGACTGAAGAAGCATGCACCACTCTGTCTGTGACTGCCTTTTTGCTGGGAAAAATGTGGGCGACTTTCACAAGTTTGTGATAGGCCTGTGATGGTTGCGGCAATATTTTCACTTGCGAATGGGGAACTTGGACCAGACAGCCATCAATTTCAGCATTCTGATGAGTGGGATGGTGCATGAATGGGGAGCACACATTGTGCGTGGTGAAGCTATGAGCACTGAGTATGCATTCTCATGGCAAGGTATTCTAGTTTCTTGTAATGCTACCAAACGGCCCTTCCTTCTGTGGAGGTTCATTTAGGTTTCTGAACTAAGAGACATGCTACTTGCGCTAACGTGTGTTTGCTCATTGTGTTTATTTTTTGTTGTTTACTGTAACTAAACGGGGGTTCTATATTTTGGAAAAAAAAGAAATGTTTTCCTCAACATAGCTAATATATGACGGTATATAATAGTGTATGGAAGCCAAACTCAACTATAATTCTGCACTGAAACGCAAGAGTGAACAACCTCCCTTACGAAATTTTGCGATACAGTTTACTGCCTAGGAAGATTATATGATCACTGAACTCTTGTGGGATGGAGACATGCTGCTGGAAGAATTGTGTTTAAATGGTGTAGTAATGAAAATTACAAGAGATAAAACATTCATTACAGCAGGTTTGGCTTTTTGCTCATCCTCTCCACCCTTTTCGGTGGTACAATGGGTAGGAGTAGCTTGTTGTCATGACTATGCTCACATCCGCAACGTAACACGATATCACTGAATATGTCACAGGTGCCTAGCCATAGGCTAAGCAAGGCTTCCCGCATGTGTCTCTCGGGTCAGCTACTTGCAGGCAGTGCAGTGAAATGTGCAGTTAGACATTGGCGAAGTTATTGTGGTAAACAATTACTTGACACGAGACACACAAAGTGTACTTACACAATATAACCATACAATAAATAACTCAACACACACAATGTAGTGCGATGGTGGCGCCGCCAACGCTCGACTCACCACAAGGACCACCGGCAGACGACCCGCGGTGCCGTCAACCACAGACGCGTCGCAAGAGACAACCGCTTGCGCAAGCATCTACGCAACTGAAAGAACCGCGCACCTCTGATATGCCGCCACCCAGGCTTACCGCCAGGCATAACTGCTGGCTCCACCGAACTAACCATGATGATGATATGGGTAATAAACGCTCGTGAGCACAACGCCACCTACCGCTCCATAGTTGTGAATCCTCAATTCAGCCTATGTGCGAACCACGTGTGCCACGAGGCGCAGACGACTTTACAAGGGAGTGTTCAAGTTCCTCAGTGCTACCTGTGTTGTAATAGTGATAACCTTGTGTCTGAACCCATTGAGTTCAGCTGCACTCCGGTTTTATTTTAGGGCTTATTGTAATTATTGTTCAATTTTCTGTGTGCTCTTTGAACCTCTTCAGGAAGACATTGAAGCAGAGGCTATACTTGCGCCTACGATACATCGTTCTGTACCAGTTATGTTCTTATCACAATACTATTTGGCATATTTTTGTTTCTGAACTGGTTACGCCTTGGGTCGGCATGCAGCGTTGATCGTTTGTAGGTGGGATGTTGAAAATCGCTGATGTCACTTTTGACTAGTGCGTGTCCATGCTACTTTTTCAAGCCTAAAGCAATTCCTTTGGAACCTTTAAAACCTAAGCATTCCAGCTATTTTTTTCCTTAAAAGTTGGTTAAAGTGTTAGTTCTTGCAGATTTTGTGTAAAGTTCTGCATAGCTGATTGTGGTAATTCATACGGAAGTGCTGAATAACATGAGAGGATCATGAAAATACTTAGTCATATTCTGACAGTGCGCTGATGGACTTCATCTGCTTGCCACTAGTTATGTAAAAATTCCCACGGTGGATGCTTTCTACTGAAAAAATAGTGGGTTTCGACTGCCTACATTACTCACTTCAGTGCAATTCCTCAATGAAATTGGCAGGACCCACTAAAAGGCTTGTGATTGCAAATTTTTATCCGAGGTCTGTCAGAATAGTATCCGACATTACTATTTAATTTGCGAGCACCTGATGGATTCGGAACAAGCGCGCTTTCATTAGTCGACTTCGTGCGCATGCGTTCATTTTTTCCCGCCTGCCAATCGCTTCAATTGCTAGGACGCATCGTTTCAGTGAGGTAGTGTGCGATGCTCTCATTGTTCTTTATTGCAAGAAAAATACGAAGCGACTGGAGCAGCATTATAGCATCAAATCTTGCCATAAACTAGGTGACAGCCAATCAAAAATCATTGGTTAGATCAAGAGTGCTTTCGATGACGAGGTTATGAGCCACACACAGATTAAAGAGTGGTACAGCCAGTTTAAAGACTGCCACGCATTGGTGAAGAGCGAGTCTCGATCCGGTCGGCCATCAACATGCCGAAATGACCAGGTCAATTCCAAAGTGAATTCTGCGGTGATGCAGGAATGTCATGTGACTATCCAGGAAGTTGCAGAAGAGGTGGGCATCAGCACGTTCTCTGCCCTTTGCATTATGACCAAAGATATGGCCATGAAGAGAGTTGCGGCGAAATTCATGCCGAAACTGCTCTCGGTTGAGCAAAAGCAACTTCGTGTTGAAGTCTCACAGGACATGCTGGATTTCACAAGCAGTGACCCGAGCTTCATTAACACCATAATCACTAAGGACGAGTCTTGGATGTTCGCGTACGACCCAGAAACCTAATTCCAGTTATCACAATGGAAGCATTTCACATCAACAAGACCAAAGAAGGCCAACCAAGGGCGCAGCAACGTCAAAGTGATGCTGAGTGTTTTTCTTTGAGTCCCGTGGTGCGATACACCTGAATACGCACCACAGGGGCAATCACAAACGAGAACTGCAGGGATGTCTTTCATCGCCTACGTGATGCTGTGCAGTGCAAGAGACCAGAGTTACGGTAAACAGGTGGTTGGGCCATCCATCACGACAATTGTCCTGCACAATCCTCACACTTAGTTCACACTTTTTTGGCGATAAAGGCAGACTCCTTTATTTCAATGGGCTCCTTATTCTCCTGATATCACCCCCTGCGACTTGGTTGTTGCACAAACTCAAGCGGTCACTGAAAGGGGAGTGATTTCAGACGAGGGAGGACATTACAGCTGCAATCACAGTTGAGCTAAACTCCCTTCCGAAGGAAGGACTTCTCAGAATGCTTTCAACAATAGCAGCACTACTGGGAGAAGTGTGTTGATTCCCAAGGGGACAACTTTGAGTTGGATCAGGTTTTAAGCGCTCCATTTATGCCAATTTTTTTTTATTCCACCAAAGTCAGATTCTTTTTTAAAAGACCTTGTATAGAGTCACTCATATCATGACGCTAAAACTTATTTGATTCATGTTGATTAATATGACCTATTCCTAAATGATGTTCTTTTATTAGACAATTAAAAAAAATAGACAGTTATGCCGCAGTTGTTTTCGCACACATACTTCATCGAGGTGTGAATACTTTGTTGCAATTAAAACGATATTGACAAGACAAATTAACAAACTTGTTGAATAACCTTTAAATTATTGACTTTAGGGCATTTGTTTTGTAAGGGAAAGTTGTAGTGTATGCCAGTTTTTTAACCCATCATTACGGCATTCGTGGCATACCCAGTAGAAGTCAGGAAAATTGTGCATATTTTGAAATATTTATAATCAAACATCAAGGGTGAAATTGTAACCGATTGTGCTTAGCATAGCCTTTGTTGCACGAAGTGAGTACTACACATGACAACAATGCGATGAATTTTCAATCAAAACACATCAAAGCAGATTTTGGCTAGGAAAGTCGGCAAGCATTCTAAAATCGACCAGTATACCTCCTATTCTTCAGGTGTGACGGGGTGCATATCTGTTTCAATCTTTTAACAGACGCAAAATATTATTTCAACTGTCAGCAAGAATTGACACAGTGGCTGCCCCTCAGTTTTACGCTTCAGAAGGAAGAAAATGGACGCCGTGGCGTCTTCCCACCCAGTACTCATATCAAATATGCCTAACCAATTCCAACTTATCCGAATGTCAATTATTCTGCAATTCTTCAACTTCCCAGTTTTACGGTAACTTTACAGAGAAAGAAAGGGTTGAGCTTGCGTTTTTTGCACTCAGATTGCATTTACACAAGCAGAGGTGGAACAGCTGCGCCATTTGCAACATTGTCGATCAAACTTGTCTACCTTTTCAGTCCTGAGCTGAACCACCTCTGTTACGCGTAACTCTCATATCAGCACCTTGCTGGATTGGAACACCCAAATTTTGTCGCTAGGAGCTCCGTGCCTGAAATTGTGGCTGAAACATATCATCTTCAGTTTCATTGTATTATTTATAGTTGCGGTATATTCAAGGCTGTGATCACTCGAGAAAATGTTACGAACTTTGATCGTAAGGTTCCGATAACTGGAGCGTGTGCTATCGCTGCAAGCAACAGGGAAATTCGCTAATAAACCCCTCACGTGCAGCGCTCCTAATGCCAAGAGACTGTGCTATTGGAGAATATCTTCAGCAATTTGTATGATTACGTGTCATTTAATTCATGAGAGTTAGCTTCCAGGCAAATAACATGAAACTTTGTTGATAGCACATTAATAGTTTCGCTCTTGCGCTGATACTGTTTTATATACAGTCGAACACAGATATATCGAACTCGAATGGGATCGCGAATGATTTTGATATGTAAGAAATTCGATATAAAAATACAGGCCTTGAGAGCTAACCTGTAGTGGATAAACACCTACAATAGGGGCCTTAAAGAATGACAACAAATTCCGCATACGCGCCGCAACAGAATGATTTATTTGCGTGAGATAAATTGCTTATCTTGGCCTGCTTCCTTGTTTTTGAAATGTTGAAGACACTAGTCTCAATCATATTAAGGCTGTCCAGGTGCAACTGCTAGGTTCCCTTCATGTGGCCGATACAACGGCGAGTGACGCCGAAGGCTGTCGCCACTTTAGTGGCGGAGTACACCCGTGTAGCCAGAACCTCGTCCGGACGATCCTCTTCGTCACATGAGCTGTCGGCCAAGCCATCCTGGGTCTCTGCGACCACGGCTACTATGTCCTCGTGAGCGAGGTTCGCAACGACCTGGACACTGCATACCACTTCCACCAAATCGTCCGCAGACACTTCGTGTGGAACTGCTGCTGAGAAGCTGGACGACAACTCGTGAAACGCGTCTTTTATTGACTCAACGTCATCGTATTCACCGGTTTCTGCAAGTTCCGCCGTCTCCAAGCCTGCCTTGCGGAAGCAGCAGCTGCCCACTGTGTCTTCACGTCTTGCCTGGCGTTGCATTTCTCCGCGGTAGAAATCTTCGCGGAGATTTCCGGCCACTTCTTTGTCATCCACTACTAGATGTAATGGTTGCTGACAGCTTCACTTTAGCTAGAATTGGTTTTGCCAACGATGTTTTAGCGCTACTTGACTCGGAGAGGAGACCCGGTGTTGTAGGCGAAGTTGTTTCACCGAGTGCAGCGGCAAATCATTTGGCCTTGGCGATGAGCATCCGAGCCATCCACCGGAATGTTCTTCGCCACTATTCTAAAAAATAGGCATACAGTGCCTTTTCTCTATTCCCGTGGGCAGGAGAACTCACATGACAGGCTCCCAACCTTCGCTGCTCGACCGCCTTTGCCTTGATATCTGCTTTGTTCTTCAACAAGTTACTCATAGTGCTCTTTGGTATCGCAAAGTCGTCCGCGACGGTGAAATATTTCTCGCCTACCTAAACACGCGGAATCACCTTCAACATCGACCCAAAGTCACGGGTCTTGCAGTTCTTGATGCTGGCCATAGCTACACGATAAGTCGACAACTCCAGGAGTCTGCAGTGCTATGCACACCACACCCGCAAATGAGAAATGCTGCACATGCGGCGGTATGTAGGCAAAGCGACAACGGAAACAACAAAGCGCTCGTGAGACGATGGCCACTTGCAAGGGCAACAGCAAAAGACGCGAGCTGTTGTTGGCTGATCAAAACTCGCTAAACAGCATCGAAAAAACTAAAAGGAAAAGCAAAAGAAACAGGACGTTGGTTCTTTCATTCCTGCTCTCCAAGCCGGCGTGTACGCGGTGACAGCCTGAAAGAAGGAAAACCAAAACATAAGGGGAAAAAATCTGTTCCACAGGATAAAAACTGTGCAGTCTGTCCCGTCTCGCCCCTATGTTTTTTCAAGTGTCTCGGTTTTTTCGCAGACGTGGTTCGGCACGGAGTCAAATTGATATAGATACCCAATAAAGTGGCTGGAGGGATAGCTGTCGTGGTAGCTCAGTGGTAGAGCATCGAACGCGTTATTCAAAGGTCGCAGGTTCGGATCCTGCCCACGGCGAGTTATCTTTTCACCCACTTTTCTTTCTTCTCACTTACATTACAATTGGCCTAATAACTCCCCTATACTTTCCATGGCATTATTGTCTGTTATATCTCATTAATACTGTGTAAACACGAAAAACGAGCCCTTATGCACTTGTTTCCCTTATATATTAACGAGGGTCTCGTACTGGCAGACTTGGTGCCTTTAAGTTGTATACGAGGGACAATTGGTCAGCTGCCAGTTAGTAGGAAGTTCACGTGCTGCGTGATGCCTAAAAGGCTCATAAAGAGTGTGCCACACTCGCCGCCATGGCTACTGGTGGCGCTGACTGACACTCCTACGTTTAAATTGATATAGATACCCAATAAAGTGGCTGGAGGGATAGCTCTCGTGGTAGCTCAGTGGTAGAGCATCGAACGCGTTATTCGAAGGTCACAGGTTTGGATCCTGCCCACGGCGAGTGATTGTTTCACCCACATTTCTTTTTTCTCACCTACATTACAATTGGCCTAATAACTCCCCTATACTTTCCTTGGCATTATTGTCTGTTAGATCTCTTTAATATTGTGTAAACACGAAAACGAGCCCTTATGCACTTGTTTCTCTTATATATACATATATATATATATATATATATATATATATATATATATATATATATATATATATATATGGTGGGGTGATATTCAATGGATCCGGTGGAAAATGCAGTATAAAAAGAGGTCGACAAACGTGCGAAAAAACACTAGTTTTACTAACGTTTCGGCAGGTGGGCCTGCCTTCGTCGGAAGGTCACAGGTCCGACGAAGGCAGGCCCACCTGCCGAAACGTTAGTAAAACTAGTGTTTTTTCGCACGTTTGTCGACCTCTTTTTATACTATATATATATATATATATATATATATATATATATATATATATATATATATATATATATATAAAGATGGTGGTATTGGTGTTTAAAAGAAGCCACAGTGGTGGCATCAGGTTCCCGAAACTGCCTAGTATAAAAAGACAGGTTCACAGGATTGCTCATCAAGTGCACGCGCATATTCTCGTTCATTTCGCCAATATTCCCTGTTGTACGGCGCTCATCGACTCGACGGTTGATTGTACATAGCTAAAGAAATAAGTTGCACCACATGGGGTCAGCAACGAATGCGACAGCAACGAATTGCATGTTTCTACAGAATGAGGCTCACTGTGAACTCTTTTAGATCTGATGTGGGGTAACTCTACGAAACGCTGGTGTAAGAAAATACAGCCACAACAGAAAGATCAAATGTCTTTTTCTTACTCTCTCCGCGATTAGAGCACAGCACGTCGCAGACAATTAGAGCAGCCCGCTGACAGCTGCCGAGATAACGCACGTGCCACT